TAAATATTAAACTAGTTCTAATTTAATTTACAAATTTAATTAATAAAAATGGATAATATATATAACTAAATAAAATATTTTTTGTGAGAAAAATAAAATAAAATAAGCTAAAATATAAATCTATCATTTTTATATTTTTTTTATGATTTTTAATATTAAGAAAAATATATTTAATAGAATAAAAATGAAAATGAAATGAATAATAAAAATATATTGGGCCAGGGGTATCATGAGTAAACTGGAGGTAGCATATTAGCAAAAAAAAACAAAAGGCCCAAGAATGAGAGGCGCAACACTGCAAAGGGACAAAAAAAAGGAAAAAATGTGAGAAAATTGCAAAAGGCAGCATGCTAAGGCTCAAACCCGTGACCTATAACATTTACGTGCGCTGCCTTACCACTGGGGTGGCTGTACATCCATTTATATAAACACAATCATAAATATATATTAGAAAATGCCCCTTGTAGGCAATTTCATCTTCAACCTTGAGCCATGGCCGGACCACCTGCATCTCTCTCATTTCTCCATAAAAATGGAAAGTCCAAACATGAAAGTTATGGTGTTTCTTCCCACGAGTTCAACCATATAATTTATGTAAACTAAAAGTCAAAGATCAAAGCTAATTTTACTTGCACTAATTTGAAACCTAATTTTTACAGAAATTTCAAATAAAAAATTCTCTATACACAGTTAATATAAATGAAAACTATGAACATGGTTAGCTTTAGGGCATGGATATCTACATTTTTCTTTCACAAATCAGGACCAAATGATGCTTGTATGAAGAGATAGAAGTTTGAGTTTTTACCTCTTTCAGTTGAGATCGTGAATGGAGTTTGGGCAAGTTTTGAGAAGGCCTGGGGATCTGTTTAGCTTGCCTGGACCTCCCTGAGTGTATTCCAATCCTTACTTTATCTTGAAAGTCCCTGAATCTCCCTACTCAAGTCAACCTGCAAGCTTGATGTTTGAAAATGGTGGATGGAGGAGGAGGATTTACAGTGAGGGAACATGGGTCTGGATCACTTAGGTATGATGTATATTAAGTGTTTAGGTGGTTGAAACTCAAAACACACGAGTGGATTTGGAGATGGCTGAGTAAGGTTCAAAACTGTCAAGCTATGGTAGATTTTCAATGGAAAAGTGTTTGGGAGTGTTTCTGAGTCTTATCATTCGTGTGTTATGTTGCAATACATTTGTGTATATGTATGGAAAAGGTTAGAGATCAACTCCACTCAAGGTTTCTGAGTTATAGCCTTTTGGCTCTATAACTTGCTTTTGAAGAAAAGTGAGGAGACAACTCTCTAAGTGTTGTACAAGCATGGTCTGGTTTGGTAAAGGCTTCAGGCAAGTTGCTTTTGGTTTTGACTTAGCTTATGTGCAGATAAAACAATTGAGAGGCTCAAGAAGTGGAAAATTGCAAAAGTAATGCTTTATCAAAATGGAAATGGCAACTTTGTGCCAAAAATGGAATTGTTCTTGTACAATGCATTCAATGCTTGGCTTAAAGCTTCCAACATCTGTGAAATCAATTAATTATGGAGTGAGAAACAAGTTTGAGGTCTGCAAAGCAAATATCATGCAGCCTTGGCTTGGATTTGAATTTTTGTTTATCATGAAATGGCTTGAAATCAAAGTGATAAATCACCAACTTCATCTCTACGATTATCCCTACTCAAGAATGATCTCAAGGAGTTCTTGGACATTTTGGAAAGTTTGAAATGTGATCTACAACTCATCTTTGAATTTCTTTTGAAAATTCCTTTTGGAACTATGTGAAAAATTGCCATGAAGTTAGGTCAAAAATCTGCCTAACTAGGGCAAAATTTCACTAAGTTATTTTAGTTCATGAGCATGTATTCACAAAATTTTTACTTGAGATACAAGCACTTTTAGGAGAAATTATGTGAAGAAAAGTTGTAGATTTCATGTATATCTACAACTTTCATGTTGGAAGTTTCCTTTGAATCATCTTACATCATGGTGAAAATTTGGCTCAAAGTTGAGAAAAAATAAGAAATTTTCTATACTTAGAAAAATTTCTAAGTTAAGAAATTTCAACTTTTCAAAACAAAATCTTGAATCCTTGATTTCTTGATGAACAAGTTTAACATTTTGACATGTTTTTATGAATTATGATCAATACATTTGATTTTGACCAAAAATTCAAAATTTGACTTTTCAGTATACAGTTGATTTTTGATCAGTTGACTAAAAAATTCATTTGTCTATCCAATGGATTTGTAATGTTTTGAACCATATCATTAGGTCAAGATGATGTAATTGAACTCTTATCATGCCTTAACTCAATTGACCATTTTCCAGGTCAAAAACCAGAAATTGCCTCTTCTCAGTCAAAACCCTAATTTTGACCATTTTGCCCTTTTGATGATTTGATCAAATTTCTTGAGGAATTATGGTCCAAACTTGATCAAATGATAAATATGAGACTAAGATGTTGATGTGTATAAAAAATTATGAAGTTTTACTATAAATTGGCCATGGTTGACTTTTTCCCCAATACAATTGATTTTTAGGTCAATTGTCCAATTGATTGATCAAAAATGTGATTCAAAGCTTGAAACTTGACATGAGTAATATTAGGGGTCCATAATGATCCTTGAAAGTCATATGAAGCATTGATAGTCCAAAAATCCTTGTGCAAACTCAAACACTAATTTTGATCATCAGTGCATGAGGAGATGTCTTGAGTTGGTCAAACCCTAATCCAGTCTTGAGTCAAAGAGATCTTGTGAGGAAATTCTTGATAAGTGAGAGGGAAAATTTTGGGGTACAACAGAGGTTACGACAAGATAAAGATAGAGGATCTCATCCTTCTCTGATCAAGAAAGGACGGACGATTGCGACAATGCTTGTTTCAGGTGGGTGAGGGCTTGCTCGCATTCGTCCGTCCATTCGAAGGCAGCTTCTTTGCGAAGAAGTTTGAAGAGGGGGAGCGCGTGTTGGAAGGATTTCGCCATAAAGTGGGAAAGTGAATTGAGCATTCCATTCAGGATTTGAATGGATTTTGTTGAAGTGGGCGTTGGAAACTCGGAAAATGCTCGATATTTGTTGGGGTTAGCCTCGATTCCTCGTTCCGTGAGGTAAAATCTGAGGAACTTGCCTGCCGGTACGTCAAAGGTGCATTTTCTAGGTTAAAGAGCATTTGGCATTTCCTGGCCTGCTCGAAAACTTTTTTCAGGTGCAGGGCGTGGTCGACCTCTTTCGTTGATTTGACGATCATGTCGTCCATGTAGACTTCAAGCATGTCGCCTATCTCGTTGCGGAAAATTTTGTTCATGACGTGCTGATATGTATCGTTCATGTTTTTTAGGCCGAAGGGCATTCCGATGTAGTAACAGTTTCCCGATTCAGTCATAAAAATGGTATATTTTTTGTCCGCTTTCTCCATGGGAATGTGGTTGTATCCAGAATATGCATCCATGAAACATAATTTTAAACTGGCCAAGTTGTCAACCAGTTTGTCGATATTGGGGAGGGGGTAAGCATCTCTCAGGAAAACCCGATTGAGATCGGTATAATAATTGCACATATGCCAGTTTCCATTAGATTTTTTCACAAGGACTACATTTGAGAGCCATGTTGTGTACTGGGATTCAGAAATAAAATGTGCCTCTATGAGGTTTTTGACAGCGTGGTCAACAACCTCCGTATTTTCGAGAGACTGCTTCCGCCTACGCTGAGCAACTGCCTTAAGGGGAGAATCTATGGTTAGATGGTGACATGAAATCTCTGGGTGCAATCCGGGAATTTCAGTTGCGCTCCAGGCGAACAGATCAACATTCTCTCTCAAGCAAGCTTTAAGTTACCTCTTCACCCGTTCGGGGAGGCCAACTCTGATCTTAACTCCTCTAGATGGATCGTTCCCGAGGGGGATTGTTTCAAAGTCCCCGTTTAGAATGATCCGCATGGGATCTGAAGGCTCCTTATTGTCTGCACTCATGGATGAGTTCTCCCCTTCGACCATGGGCTCCTTCTCCTTTCTTTTTCGCTCCGTGCAATCTTCCTTGGAGAAGCGACTGTCGAGGTCGATGGTGTCGACCTTTGGCAATGGCTTGGTCTCCTCGGATCTGGAGGGCAAGGCGGATCTAGTGGCCATTCGAGGTTGAGCATTGTTGGAACTCATGCCCTTGGACGAAGCTTCAAAACACCTCAATGCTGCCTGAACGTCCCTGTGGAGGGTGGCGACCAAGCCTTCAACAGTGTAGCATTTCATCTTAAGGTGCATGGTGGAGGGCACCACAATCAATTCAGCTAGGGAAGGCCTCCCGAAGATACATTGATAGAGAAGGGGACAATCCACTACTAGAAACTGAGTCTTGATGGCTATGGCGATCATCCTCTCTCGAAGGTGACAATTAGTTCGACATATCTCCAGGGTTTAGTGTTGGCCTCGTTGAAGCCCTGGAGGTCTGAGCCCACGTATGGGGTTAGATGGGTTTCGTTCAGTTAGAGGGTGGTGAACAACTGGATGCATATGATGTCCACCGATCTTCCTTGATCGACCAGGATGCACCAAACATTGAAGTTTTCCATGCGAGCCTGCACGAGCAGTAGGATGGTCGAGTTGGGAGCTCTGCCTGGAAGTTTCTCTCGGTAGAATGTGAGGGGATGAGAGCCTCCCCTGAACTTGTCGAGGCTAGCATCCATGTCAGATTTGGCTTTGATAAGATGATCGAACCTTCTTTTTACGGACCCCATCGTGTGCTTGTTGAATCCTCTGCTGGAGATGACCATCACAACAGGGAAAGACTCCTAGGGACTATGTGAGGAAAATTATAGGGAACATCCTCCATGTCCGGAAAGTAGAAATCTTCTGGTCGTGAGATGCTCATGGAGATCGATATGATGTTATTGTCAGGGGACTCCTTCCCCTCTTCGACGCTCTTGGTTTCGGGAGGTTCCTCGCAGGCATCCTCTTCCTTCTTCTTGTACTGCTTGAGGTGTTCGTTCCAAATCAATATCTTGATCGCGTCCTTGAGATGGATGCAATCGCCGATGTTGTGACCATGGCTTTTGTGGAACCTACAATACTTGCTCTTGTCGGTTCTAGGCTTGGAGGGCGCCTGGAGAGGAAAGTGTATCCCATCCTGTTTGAATTCTAAGTTGGCGCATTCGGTCAGAATATGCTCCTTCGAGGTCTTCAGAGGGGTGTAGTCGTGGAATCGACTACTAGGCCTCTTGTAATCTTTGGAGTATCGGGATCTGTCTTCCGGGTTTCTCTCTTCGCCCTAACGGGATGTCGAGGGCTCGTTGCTTCTCGAGGATTTGACACTCTCTCGGTGCCTTGAATCCCTAGCATTATTGGCCACTTCTTTCTCCTCGTACTGAATGTACGTTTTAGCCTTGAGGAGGAGGGAGTCGAGTGTAGCTGGAGTTTCGATGCCCATAGCCTTTGCGAAGTCGCTGCGGGGACGAATCCCTCGTTCAAGATGGTATGTCTTCATGGCATCAGTCATTGAGACCTGTACGACTTCTTTATTGAAGCGCTCGATATATGCTCGTAGAGACTCTCTTCTGCCCTGGATAATCGCTTATAGAGACACCTCTGATTTCGTATGTCGACGGGAGACGATGAAGTGCCTCGAAAATATCTTCCCCAATTATTTCCAGGAAGTGATAGATTCAGTGGGCATGCTCTTGTACCAAGCCATGACACCTTTTCTTAGAGTGGTCGAAAACAATCTACATTTAATCGTGCCTTTCATGCCTCAGCAATCAAGTTAGGCGTTAATGTCTTTTATATGGTCGTCTGGGTAGGCCGTACCTTCATAGAACCCCAACGGAGGCGGCTTCTCGAACTCAACTGAGAATTGTGCCTCCATAATTTCTTTGATAGCTGACCGCGGGGTTCTAGATGTCCTTTTTATTTAGTTTTGATGTCATTTTTTATATCTAAAAGGGCTTTTTGGACATATTAAAAATTGTCAAAACCCTATTCTATTTTGTTATCACGGGATGAGATAAGGAATGAGAGGAGGCAGCTTTAGATCTTAAAAATAAAACGACCGATGCAGAAACGGAAAAGAGACTTTCTCTTCTTCAATTACCTTCGAACCCCACATCATTCATTTACCATCAATTGCCAATCACCTTGCTTCCACACATCTCACTATCCTTCCAATTCCATTATCCAAACGCCATCCGTCTGCTATCCCACACGCTGAACCACACATCTCACCTTCCAAACATCCGCCCAAGTACACTTATACCACCCTGCTCCCTCCGTTTCATGCTTCTTATCATCCGCAAGCCAAACTCCCAGCTACCTCCGTCACAAAACCTCCATCCAGTCAACTTCCTTCGATCCACCACATACTCCCTCCGACCATCCCTACATCTGATTTGACAACCTCTCTCGATTTCATCCAGGTTCATCATCTTCAAGTTAGTAAGCCTCTTTTTCACTATCACTTTGTTTTCATTTCAATTAATCTCTGGATTTTTTTGTGAAATTAATTATTATGGTTTTTGCTTGCGTTGCATCGGTTAGATTTTAATGATAAATTGTGTCGAACTTTTGATGTTGATAACATGTCATTGGTGATAATTGTGTTGAATTTGGTTTATGACTTTTGTTTTTTAACTTAATGATGAATTTGTTTTTTTTGTTATTCTGTTGTTGAGATTTTGATGTCAATACGGTGTTTATGTCAACGTGAATGATTTTGAATTTGTGTTGATAGTTTTGGGGCTGTCGGTGTTTAATTTGAGTAATGAATTTTGATGTCTACAACACAACACGCTTATTTGAGTTAATTTTGATCGAGACCAATTGGTGGTGGTTTTGAATCTATTTTTGTTTCTAACATGCTTAGAAGTGAAATCATTGAATATCATTGCTTATCATAGTATAGTGGTTGCCCGGATTCGGTTTTGGTTGAATAAAGCGTGTTTAAAATTTGATTCGGTTCGGTTTAGTTTGTGCAAGTTCTCAAGATAGTTTAACTGGTTACTTTCTCTTCTCGCCTTTTATTCGCTTTTGATTGATTAATCAAGTTTTGATTTATTTATTTGATTTTATTATTAAAAATATATTAATTTACTAATTTATTTTTCTTAAATCGATTAATTAAGTTAATCAATTCTTGATTAATCGATTAAATTTTTATTTCATCTCAGCATTACTTTGTTGCATTAGTTAATTAACTAAAAGTCAATTTAGTTATTTAATTTCGTTATTAAAAATTAATTAGTTTAGACTAATTAATTTTTTTTAAAATTAATTAATTAACTTAATCAACCTTTTACGTTAATTAATTAAGCATTCATTCCATATTTTCTTTGTTTCATTTTAGCTTTGGTACATGTTTATAATCCACTCAGAGTGATTCTTATTTCATCCGAGATGTTTGGATTATTCCTCTGCTATTCTGTTTGTCTAGATGCGATGCCACAACATTAATTTCTCCTTCCTTCTTTTCCAAGAAGTTAGGAATGTGTCTTTTTGAGTTATAAGGGATATTAGATGATGCTCCTTGTATCTTACCACTCTTTATGCCTGCTTCTATTGTTTCACCTACCAGATCAGAAAATCCGGAAGAGACGCTTCCTACCATCTTATCATAATACAACCCTTGTAAAGTACCCATGAACATATCAACCAATTCTTTCTCCAAGAGTGGTGGTTGTACGCGGTTTGCCATTTTTCTCCATCTTTGTGCATATTCTTTGAAGGACTCATATTTCTTCTGAGACAAGTTTTGGAGTTGCATACGGTTAGGCGTCATGTCCAAATTGTACTTGTACTGTCTCAGGAAAACGTTGGCAAGATCTACCCACGTCAAGATATGAACCCATTCCAATTGTATATACCAATCTAGGGATGCCCCACTCAAATTGTCTTGGAAACAATGGATCATCAGTTTCTGATCTTGAGCGTGGGCATGTATCTTTTTGCAATACATGCGTAGATGGTCCCTCGGACATGTGAGCCCCTTATATTTTCCAAAGTCAGGTACTTTAAATTTTGGCGGGATTACCACATCTGGAACTAGACCCATTTCGAGAGCATCAACGTCGAAAGCATCGTAACCCTCCACAACCTTCAACCTTTCTTCAAGATTTTATACTGATTGAGCGCCAAGGGATTCTCAACCATCTTGGGTTGGTGTGTCTGAGTAGCACCTTTCAAATTAATGTCTCCATATTGTAAGTCTATGTAATTGTCCGCATTATTGACTGGAATATGCAAAGAATGGGATGCCCCTACCTTCGGTGGAGGTGGAACAAACCCTTCAGTATCAACTTGTCTGACCTCTTGTTGTGCTATAGTTGACTTTAGAGGTCCTGACACTGGTTCTCTTCTTGGTTGGTGACCGCTTGATGCACCAATAGTTTGGGCTACTTCTTCAAAGGCTACCCTGGGAATCTGTTCTTGCCTCTCAATGATGTTCTTCAAAGCTAACAGAACTTGACTCATGTCTCCTTTCATTGAGTCAATATTGCTCTTTACTTGCTCCAAATCTTCCTTGAATGCAACTTGATTCTCTTTGATTTGTTCCATCACTTTCTTTTGATGGGCTCTTGTTTGATATGGCGGTCGAAGAGGCTGTGCTTTTCTACCAATGGTTTAACTAGAGAATATTTTTTGAAAAAAAGATAAGTTTTTTGTATGAAGTTATGGGATGCAATATTTGCGAATGCGTGGATGCGTATGAATATGCTAAGTGTTTCATTTTTTGAATGTCTTATTCACTTGGATTCTCTTTCATATTTTTTTATATATTTTTTTTTCCAGATTTTGCTTTTTTATTGGTGGGCATCTCAAAAATAAATACACAACTAAGATAAAGGAAACTTATTAAAGAACAATTGTACTTAAAACGGGAATATAATTCAGATATTCAAAAATATTCAAACCAAAACATCAAAATTAACTTGCTGAAAGAAATAACAAAGGGAAACAAAAATCTTCTAAATGCGCCTGCAGATATCTGCTCTGAAACAATTAATCATTGTCCTACAAAGTTTGAGGAAGTCTTCAACATCTTTTGGAAGCGGGGCCATTACATTTTCTGCATCTCTCAAACTTTTAGGGATGTCACCAATGAGGTTGTTGGCTAAGAAGGTGAGTCTTGCATGTTTGTCTTTGTAGAACCGATATTCTTGATAGAGGTTCAGAATTATCTTATAATTATACTTTCCTGCCTTGGTGATCTTTGTGTGTTGCTCTTCCCAATATAGTTTTTCAGCCCTCATTTATGTGTGGAGTCTCCTTTGTATAAGAAAATTCTTTCAGAGGTCTTCTAACTCACGACAAACTTGCTCATATTCATCAGTCTTTTGGGTGAGACGTCTTTCTGCCCTCATCCTCTTGAGACGTTCTCCTACATCCGATTCTTGGCTATCTTGGAGTCTCGTAGTAAGATACTTAATTTTCTCTTCTTGATCCAAAGAAGCTTCTGCCAAACTTTAAATTTGAGCCCTCAAATTTTCTTCCATCTCCTTTTTGTCTTGCATCGCCTTTTCGTACCACCTACTTAGCCTCCCGATTTCACTAGCAGCATCCTCCAAACGTTGGTTGTGAAAATCCAAATTAAAGGTAGCACTTAACAACCCTTTGGTTGAACGTTTCCGTTTAAGATTCTCCTTTTCAAAAGCTTCACGGACTTTCTGAATCTGTCAAGCTCGCGTTGCATGTGTCTTTTCTCCTTAACTAAGTTATAAAGGTTAAGCTCCAATTCCTCTTTCTCCTTTTGAGTTTGATTCAAGGCTTTCTTCAAGTTGTATATTTCTTCTAAGAACATAGGCCGAGGATCTGGGACATCTGGCTTGTACTCAAGATCAACGTCAAATGGTAACTTAATAACTTGCACCCTATCCAAAACTCATCGAGTGTAAGGTTCTTTTGCTATAGCATTCTTCCTTTCGGCCTTTCTTTTATTAACCTTATTCCAAGCTCGGATGATCTTGTTGAACAACTCTCGGTCATTTTTGCCCATGTCGTAAATGATCAATTGTTGAAGTTGTCCATCAGAGGGTTTATCCTCCAAAGGATACCCAAGTCGTCTCAAAGCCAAAGTAGGGTTATAATTGAAGCAACCACGTGACCTAATCAATAGGACATTCGGAAAATCTCCACAATTGAAAATGATGTCTCAAATGTTTAACTTCCTCGCATACCACAACATAGAATCAACAGTAAGAGGTCTTGATTTTTGAGGCCACTCAAATCGCGTCAAAGTTTTAATCATGTAGTCCTCTTTGTAGAGATGCGACATAAACCAAGAATATAGAAGTGGGATACAACAGTTCAGTGTATCCATCCCTTTTTCGTAACGAGTGTGAAGAGCATAGTAAATATCAGCAAGCAAAGCAAAAGTTGGGTCCGTATTCAAAGCTTTTGCGGCCCAAAATACATTAATAGCTGTAGGGTCAATATAGTCAAAAGTCTGTGGAAACAAGATTACACCAAAGACCAGTAGTCCTAAACAATCAACACAAGACTCCCATTCTTTGTTATTGGCAAAAGAAAGGGCTTTAGCCTATAAATATTGTCTTTTAGTCCCTTGTGCATCACCTTCTTTTTTGTAATTAAGTGAAAACTCAAGATAAGAGATCCCTAAACCCTTTGCTAAGTCTTTAACATCAATAGTTTGTCCAATTCCCACATATGCTTTTCCCTTAGAAAAAAATCAAAAGTCTATTAAATACTTCCAAAGTCGGCGCTAGCTGAAAGTTTTGAAAGGTGAAACACCTTAACGGATGATCGTAGAACTGAACTAAGGCAAAGATGGCATCTAACTGTACATCCACTTTTGTCAACTCAAGGGTATCCCCATATCGGCGAACAAACATCTTCAAAGCTCTTTCAAACAATTTCCCTGTGATGATCTTGATCTTCGTCATATCTGGCTTGATGGCACTAAAACAGACAAGTTGTTTCCCTCTGGCATCCATTCTTAAGATACTCACCAAAAAAACCTTTGATTATATTTTTTTATATCCCGTGAATAAGACAAATAAAGAGAATGGAAAATGATAAATATGTGAGATGTAAAATGTTTGAATGCATGATGATAGTAACGCGGTTTATGAAAGGTATCCTTAGTTGGTAGGCTCCTCATAAGGTGGTTTCCTTAAGGATATCATGGATAACACTAGAGGAAAAAACCCAAGGGTTTCCCTTAAGCAGAACCTCTTTATAGACCGAAACTTTCGTCTCTAAGATCGTAAAAGGTTTCACCATGAGTTTTTGGTTTAGGGTTATACAAAAAGTCATAAGTTTCATTCCAAAGTCCTATCCATCAAGAGGATATCTCTTGAGACTTATTTCTTTTTTGGAATTCCACCGACTCTAGGCGAAGTCGTCACAAAAACTCATAGGGATGATATATCCCCTTGGCAAATAGACGAACCTTCTTTCTAAGGTTTTTGAAAATAATATTTTTAAAATAAAAATTCCGCCAATAGATGAATAAAAATGACAAATAATAAACCAAAGTAAATAAATATTTAAATGAAGCAAATATAGCAAAATAAGAACAACCTAAAAAACCCTAAACCAAACGAAAGTCTTCTAAACCCTAAAGTTGAGTTTCCCCAGCAGAGTCGTCAGCTATAATAATCGACTGAAAAGTATAGAGTCGCCACCATCAATTTTTATCTTAAGGAAGAGAATATAACACATAACCCTAATTTGATCAAAGATTCTAAGTTCTTGACTCGTTTTAGACGAAGGGAAGGTGTTAGGCACCTCTCATCTACCTTGTTCACAAGGATACTAGGGTTTTGATTAAAGGTTTAGGAATATGGTTTTAATTTTTATTAGGGGAACTTGCCACGGTTTTTAAGTCGTATGCCTATGTATCCTCTTATGAGGATTCAGAGTCCCAATTCGTAGTTCGTAGTTGTTTGGTTAGTTTTTCTTATGGACTATGGAAATATCTCGAATTCTCCTTGAACCAAGTCTGGGTTTGTGAATAGTAGAATTGGAAACGTAGTTCGCAGTCGATAAAAGAAGTTCCCATAATCCTTTTTGAAAATATATACGTTTGAATTATATTAGTAGAAAATAAGGTTAGTGTTTGATTGGTTAGGTTTTTTCGAATATACTATGCAATATGAGAAAAATAAGTTTTGATGCCTGAGAAAAATATTTAATGCGATTAAAGTATTTAAAAAAGGAGTTAGTTTTTTTTTTAAAAAGTTTGAATTAATAAATAATAATTTTATAATTTATTAAAAATATATTAAATATTAAAAATATCAAATAATTTATTAATATGCAAAAAATATAATAAATGAATAAACCAATAAATAAATACATAAAATTGTAAAAAAAAAGTTTTTATTTTTAAAAACGCAGGGGGGTGCAAAATTAGTTAGAGCGGTAAAACTTAGGGGTTTGAATAACAAGCCCTAAATCCATATATTAGATTTAGGCCCAATTGCATAGGGGTGTGGATTTGAACGTGGTAAGTAAAATTTGGGGCGCAGATAGCAAGGGCCAGAGCCTAATAGTTGATTTAGTCCAATAACCAAGAGGTGCTATTTATGTTGGATAAATAAAATGGGGTGTGTGAAGAGAAATAGGTCAGACCCAGATTGCTTACAAAGCCCGTTTGAATAGCGTGGAGTTGATTCAGGATGATTAACACGTGGAGATGATTCAGGGACGTCTGATTTTGATCAAAGGGCCACTTGAGGTTGACTGAAGAGCGTTGATTAAAAGTAAGAAGACTGAACGAACATGATTAATGGTTTAACCGAGGGAGCGTGGTAAGCGTGAAACATGAGGGAACATGGGGACTATATATTTGTTTTCCCTTCATTTTAAACATCTTTCTTTCTTTCTCCCTCTCTCTATACGCAAACCCCTTCTCACTAAATAAAACTTAGAGAGATATGCTTTGACCTCTCTCTAGGCAATCGAAAATCGCCCCGCCGACCGAAAATCGCTTCAGTCAGCGGTCACCCTCTTTAACCACCATAGGTCACCACCAACCATCCTTAATCCCAGATTACTAGTTGAAGTTCAACCAGAATCTTCATAGATTCAATCTAAATCTAGGAAGTTGTAAGAACCCTAAGTAGAACCCTAATCCCAAAGTGAACCCTAACCCTAGCCTCGTGAACCCAAACCCCAAAATCTAACCCTAAGCCCCAAATTTTCCCATAAAAACATCAATTTAACCCCCAATCATGCGATTACAAACATCAACAACAACAATTTAAACGACCTAAGCTAAGTGTCGGGTTTACTCAGTCCTTGTCGTGAATCTTCTCGTTTATGTTAATTCTCCATCGTCTTCTTTCTCTCCTTCTATTGATCTCTTATTTCTTTTTCTTTTGCTTGCAGGTGTAGCGATGGCGCGACGACGGGGATGGCTTGAAGGTAACAGAGATGTAACACCACAGATCTAGGGTTTCAGAAGTTGAAACCCAGATCCTTCTTTTCCTCCTTCTTCTTTTGTTTTGTTCTCGTTCCCTCTGTCCCTCGGGTCTTAGATTATAGGGTTTATATAGTTTTCTTAGGTTAGATAAATTAGGAAATTGGTCAGATAATTTGCTGTTATAGGTTAGTGATTGATTCAATTAGAATCACTCTTAGGATTTAATTTGATCTCTTTGTAATTTAGATTAGGGTTTTGTAATCTGTTAATGTACTTGGACGTTATCTTATGTAAATCCATTGTAATTGAATAAAAACGTTTTTCAATCTAAGATTTGATTCAAATAATTTTGTAAATATTTTATTTGATTTTGTTATGATACATACGTTTCTTGAAAATGGGTTTTGGACATTGCTTAACGAAGAGGAACAACGCCACTTGAATTAGGGTTTCGAAAACCCTCAGTTGACTTGGTCAATAAAAATATAATTAAACTTGATAATAAAATAATAATAGATTTAATAAAATAGTAATAATAGTAATAATTATATTAATAATAATACAATTGATAATAATATAAATATTTATCAATAAAATATTGTAATAATAATTAACAAAAGCAAATGGGCCTTTGTTCAAAAAGGAAACTGGGCCTATCTGATCATTCAAAAACGCGCACCCTCCCTCCCTATTTTTTAAAAACTAAGTCAAAAAACCTTTAATGGGTCATCAGAATTTGATGGCCCACTTGAAACAATACCCCCTTTTGTACAACAAAGCACCTCCCCCCTCTTATGATTTGAAATGGGCCTGAAATGCAATTGGCCTTTTTTTTAAAACCAAAACTTTATTTCAAGAAAAACAACACCCTCTTCTATTTATAGATGGGTCAAAACTTAATGGGCCATCAGATTTTGATGATCTATTTTGAAGCAACACACCCCTGTTATGAATTTAAACCCCCATTAGAATAAATCCCAAAAATATGCAAATTGAAACAATAGAATTTTATAATTTTAGGAACATAGTAATAATATATAAGTAAAATGATCATTGAAATTGATGGGAAAAATTTGAGGTATGGCAACGATGAATTTATTGAATCCCCCGCTTGATATGACCATGGTAGAGGGGAATGTCTCCCAAGGGCTATGTGTTGAGAAGTAAAGGGGGGAGTCTGGCATCATCAGAGATGTAGAAATCCCCTGGCCGCGAAATGCATATGGCGACTTGCAGGCTGGTGTCATCGGGGGATGGTTTCTCCTCCTCGACCTTCTTTGATTCTGGTGCGTCATCACGAGCACCCTCCTTCTTCTTTGTATACTGCTTTATGTGCTCGTCTTAAATTAGAATTTCAATTGTATCCTTGAGATGAATGCATTCTTCGGTCACATGCCCGTGGCTCTTGTGGAACCGATAATACTTTGTCTTGTCCGTATTTAGCTTGGACGGTGATTGTATGGGAAAATAGACCCCAGCTTGACGAAATTCTGAGTTCGCACACTCGGTCAAGATAAGCTCGCGTGAAGCCTCCAGTGGTGTATATTCGTGGAAACGGCCAACTGGCCTTTTATAGTGCCGAGATTCCTACTTTCTTTTATCTTCTCCTCGACGGGACGTCGAGGAATCATCATGCTTTAAAACTTTGGCATTCTCTTGGTGACGCGAGTCTCGAGCATCATTGGTAGTTTTTTTCTCCTCGTACTGTATGTACGCCCCGACTTTGAGAAAGAAGGCGTGTAGTGAGGTTGGTGTTTCGATGCCAATTGACTTTGTGAATTCACTGCGGGGATGCAACTCGCGCTCGAACATGTATTTTTTTCATATCATCAGTCATGGAAACCTGGACAGCTTCACAATTGAATCTCTCTATGTACGCCCGAAGGGATTCGTCCTTTCCATGTATGATTGCCTCCAGCAATGTCCCTATTTTGGGTGGCGGTGAGAGGCTGTAAAGTGCCTGGAGAAATGCTTCATGTGATTCTTCTAGGATGTGATAGACTCGTCTGAGAGGCTTTTATACCAGTCCATAGACACATTCCTCATAGTGGTGGAGAAAATTCGGAATTTGATGGCACCCTTAACGCCTCGGTAGTTGAGCAAGGCATTGATATTATCGATGTGTTCGTCTAGATCGGTATTTGCGTCGTACGTCCCCAAGTTCATAGGCTTTTCCAACCGATAGGTAGGGGAGTTTCCATGATTGCCCGTGATAATGGTCCATAGGGGTTGTCTTCGTCGCTCCACCCCGGAGATTAAGGTGGAGAATAGTTGTTCTTTCTTCGGTAAGGGCTATCATCTCGACAGGGAGTTGGACTTCTCGGGTGGTATTTTGGCTTGGGGAGGGCTAACGACGGTTTTATGATCTTCGATTGCCCTTGGTCTTCCTTATTACCGGAGAGATCTGGTCTTTGCAGGGAAAAGTGTGGTTTCGTGTCTTGACGAACGAAACCTTTGGTTTCTCTTGTGTTGAGCACAACTTGGTCGTTGTGGTGATGGGTTTTGAGACTCCCAACATCAGTGTCTCTGCGGAGGAGGGCTTGAATGACGCCCCTTTTCTAATTCTTCGATCTTATCATTATGTTGGAGGATTATAGAGTTGGTTTGATTTAGTGTTGCGAGCAAGACTGCCATAGACGGGTCAACGTTGGTCGGCACCCGTACTGGCTGGAAAATCGTTGGTACTTCTTCTTGGGCTGTCTTGGATTTTCCGGTTTCCAATAACAGGATGTCGTCATCCTCTACATCATCGAAGGAGGGAGACACGGTGCAGCCGTCTCTCTTCAGAGGAATTCTTTCGAGAAATGGCATTTCTCCATTGTCGTCAATTTTGCGAACATGTGAGATTATGGTTTTATGATCAAGGTTGTCGTCATCTGTATCGACCATGATTGGAATCTTGAAATGTTGCGTTGATCTTTTATTTCTGGGGAAAGAAAGATAGGGAAAATAGGTTTCCCACAGACGACGCCACTGATATTATTGGTGACCAGAATCTATAATGGACTGATATTTACGTCTATAGTGTTAGAATCACGGAGAAGGGGGTGTACCAACAAGGCACTCTGATGCTTAAGTAAGTAAAAGTGCAAAGAGATACTTGAGAAAAAAAAGGATTTGAGGATTGAATATTGAATACCTGACTCTCACAAGTGTGAGGGTTTATATAATTCCCCCAACGATTGACCATTGGTTCCTATTTTTGGGTCTGGATATTAGGCCCAAACATAAGTAATTGCAAAGATTTCTGTGTGAAAGTAGGAACGAGCAGCTCGTACTCGTTATCCTGGGAAGAGGTGCCCCAAACTAGCCGTTATCATAGGCAAAAGCGTCGTCGAGGGTAGTCGTGGTCTTATTGAGCCCGAGATCAACCCACCACGCATAACTGTCAGGTAGAAGAAAAACATTCACTTTGCTAGTCCTAGACTGGCTGGGGCAATGCTTTCAGACTGTCCTAAAGTAGTAGTATATCTTTTTATATCTTTTTTAGAGGATATTAAGGATTTTATTATACCCTAATTTTGTGTATAAATAGCCTAGTTAGGTAGGTCAATGTAATTCATTGTAATTCATTATATTATTCCTTATTTTGTAGCTGTCATTCAATATATTCCTTTTGTCTTTCATCTCTTCTTTGTGCACCAACAATTGGTATCAGAGCTTCGATTAGAAATCCACGGGAAACACGGGAAACACGAGAGAACGGTGAGGTGTTGTGTGATTGATAATCATTGTTTTTTATTCTGGGGATTTGGGAAACATTGCTTTATTGAGTTTCTGTGTAAATTGCATAAGGTAGAAGATGAACGGAAACAACAGCGATATCCATTCTAAGCTTCCAGTATTTGATGGAAAAAACTAGAATCATTGGAAGATCCAGATGCGCGTGTTATTTGGCTCTCAAGATGTGTTAGATCTTGTCACCGATGGCTATGATCTGTTAGAAGCAGACACAACAGATGCATAAAAGATAACACAGATGGCGCTAAGGAAGAAAGATCATAAGGCATTGTTCTACATCCATCAATGTGTGGATGGAAATGTGTTTGAGAAGATTGTCGATTCTGAAACAGCAAAGGCTGCGTGGGACACACTGGTCAGATGTTACAGTGGTGACGTATCAGTGAAGAAGGTGAAGCTTCAGTCTCTCAGAAAGCAATATGATAATCTCAACATGAAGGACAACGAGAAGTTTTCTGTGTACATCTCTAGAGTGATTCTGATCACTAATAAGATGAAAGCTTGTGGAGAAACCCTTTCTGAACAAGTAATCATTGAGAAGATCTTGAGATCTTTAACTTCTCAGTTTTATTATATTGTGGTAGCAATTTAATATTCCAAATATCTGAGCACCATGAGAGTTGAAGAGCTGCAAAGTAGTCTAGAGGCGCATGAGTTGCGTATGATTGCAAGAAATTCTGAGAGGGAAGTAGAGCAACAGGCTTTGAAAGTAACTTATGGTAAGAAGTATCAGAAGTATACTTGGTCAGAAGCCAGGAAGAAAACTAATGGTGGTCAAAGGTCAGAAGCTTCAAACTCTGATAGGTAGAAAAATGTCCAGAAGAGAAAGCAGAAGTCACACAAGAAGAATGTTCAGTGTTACTGTTGCAAGAACTTTGGTCAGTATGCCAAATATTGTTGGTCGAACAAAGAAAGGAAGTCAGAAGAAGCAAATATAGCCAGAGGAGATTCCGATGATGAACCTGTGCTATTAATGACTTATGAATCTGATGAGGAACCTGTGAGATTGTCATTTTCTGATTCCGAAGGGGGAGAATATGACTATGAATATTATGATTATGAAGTGTTTGAATACGAGTCAGAATCAGAAGATGACGCTGAAGATTCTGAAGATGAGTCAGAATCTGAGGTTTCTGAAGATGAGTTAGAGCCAGAAGATGACTCTGAAGATTTTGAAGACAAGTCAGAATCCGAAGAAGATTCTGATTCCGAAGAAGAGTCAGAAGATGAT